TATTTCACTTAAACATGTTATTCAAACCTTATGCGATTCATTGAGATAGGCATAAATGCAAGGCGCGTGGCGTTCCCCACACTTCCCTAGAGTCAAAGAGGTCCGAGCTAAAACACATAAAAATCACCAATATGAACAGAGTTTGCCGGCCCTGTTGTCCGGCAAGGTTTTCCACGAATTCCGAACACTGAGCATGGCTACTATTTCCTATGGCCCTGCAAAACAAGATTCAAACAAAAGGAAAACAAGAGAAAAACAAAAGAGCATGCGCGCATGCGCACTTCAGAGCGTCCAGTTTCGGGCGAGCGTCTGACAGTGACATAGTCCGAGATTCCTCTGACAAATGCCCACACCGACGATTTTGGTGGATTTGGTGTGGGTTAGACTTTTATTGGTGGACTAACCCACACCAAATCCACCAAAATCGTCGGTGTGGGCATTGGTCAGAGGAATCTCGGGCCCAATGATAGAGAACATGGGTCACAATAAAACCAATGTGCCTAACTCTAACCCTAATCCTAACCCTAATGGCTAATCCTAACCCTAAACATAAACCCTAACCTATTATATTGATATAATATTATATTTATATTGATGTAAATGACATTGGTTTTATTGGGACCCATGTTCTCTATCCTTGAACCGAATCTCGGACTAACCGTAACACTAACACTAACAGTAACAGTAACACTAACAGTAACAGTGAAAGTGACACGTGAAGTTGCTTAGATCGTAAATACATCTTGAAATTATCACCTCCTGTTCTTTTTTGTGGAACTTCCGTTTGTCCTTTCTTCTTCCCATGCTTGAAACTGAATATATTCGGTGTGTAAATAGCTTACTGTGATCAAGAATATTTAGAGAATAGGAATTATGCAGTAGACACTTCCAAGTTGCTGGGGGCGTCCATGTCATAACAAGTGAACGAGACGTAAATTTACAAGTGCGGCGCCTTGCGGGATAGGATTTTATACGGTACGCTTATCTCTATTATCTCTATGATACAGTTATTAAATAAAGATCAGTGGCTTTAGATACTTACTAATTATATCACTCAACTGATATTTTTTACAAGGCACGGGTTCTGCCCGTTTCGCATCTTTACTTCCGCTACAGGGGGAGATAATTAAACGATTTATTCAATTAACGCGCGCACGCACATACGTACACACGTGCGCGTTATTATATTTACGCGTTTTACCTTTAATACATATTTATCGTATATAACGCACACAACAATTATAGATGCCTGTGTGCATGGGCGGCGCCAGGGTATTTTCTTAGGGGGGGCGAAATCAGGGGCGTGTACAGGCCGGATTTGTACCAGGAGGGTCTGACCGTAACCCAAACTTGCGAGCACGCGAATGGGGGCGTGTGAGGGGCCCTCCCCCAGAATTTTTTGGAAATTAGACCCCCTCAGATGCGTTTTTGCGCGAGCAGGGGGGGGGTCGGACCCCTGGACCCCCCCCCCTGTACACGCCCCTGGAAACTGTAGACTCTGATACCGTGTGCGCTTGCACTGACGGGTGGGATTCACATTGGGGGTAGATTCATGATTCATCAAGCTGGTACGCGCGTACACGCGGGTACCTATTTACACACCGAATATATTCAGTTTCAAGCATGGGAAGAAGAAAGGACAAACGGAAGTTCCACAAAAAAGAACAGGAGGTGATAATTTCAAGATGTATTTACGATCTAAGCAACTTCACGTGTCACTGTCACTGTTACTGTTAGTGTTACTGTTAGTCCGAGATTCCTCTGACCAATGCCCACACCGACAATTTTGGTGGATTTGGTGTGGGTTAGTCCACCAAAATAACTCTAAAAGTCTAACCCACACCAAACCACCAAAATCGTCGGTGTGGGCATTTGTCAGAGGAATCTCGGACTATGTCACTGACGCTGTCACTGTCAGTCGCCGAGTTGGTGGGGGTGTACCGTAGTATTTGGACGCTCGCCCGAAACTGGACGCTCCGAAGTGCGCATGCGCGCATGCTCTTTTGTTTTTTCTTGTTTTCCTTTTGTTTGAATCTCGTTTTGCAGGGCCGTAGGAAATAGTAGCCATGCTCTTTTTTTTCTTTTCTTTTTTGCCTTGTAACCTGACACACGTAACACAGTCTTACTAACTTACTACATTGCAAATTGTTTCAATCAAATGTTTACATGAGTGACCGGGTTGGCCGCCATGTTTGTTTATTGCGACCGTTTTTGATGGGCGAGATGCGCAGATGACTACTGCGCATGCTGCGCATGCTGCGCATGCGCCCTTGCAAAACAAGCGGCGCCTGCACGCATGCGCACTTAGGAGCGTCCAGTTTTGGGGGAGCATCCAAATACTACGGTACAGGGGAATGTTTCAATGCACACAATACATTGTCAATTGACAATAATCCGCTAGACCAGTATTATATAAGAGAACATTTACTCTAGAACCAACTTCATTTCTTAAGTATGTTCAAAATGTTGTAAAGCAATCCTATAAACTTCAAGGCCAAGTGATAATTCTGGGAGTTTAATTTTCATTCGTGTGAATTCATTCAGTGATAATTCATTCGTTTGATTATTAGCTCACCTTGACATCGTCAAGCTGAGCTATTGCCATGGGCTGTCGTCCGTCGTACGTCCGTCCATCAACATTTGGCTACGGTCAATGATAACTCAGGAACCGTTTGACCCACATGTTTGAAATTGGGTATAGTTGTTACTGCTATGCTCCCATATTAAACGTCCTATTTTGGAGCATGCCAGTCGACGTACTTTCGAGCCACGGCAATTTTTTTGCCAAAAATGGGAATTGCCATTAGTCAGTTCAGGTTCAACGGATTTTGCTTTTTTGGTATGTGAATGAATAACGGCTAGGGGTTTTGATATTTAAAAATTA